TTACGCAGTTTGTGTCATAAGAAATAAAACGAAAAAAATACTTCCAATAAAAAATATCTAAATTCAATAAACTTGGTGTTCAATCTCCCAGTTTTCTTATATAAGAAAATAATTCATAAATTTATTTCTGATTCACTATGTTAATTTTTCATGAAAATTATTTTATGAAAATAAATCTATTCATAAGCCACATGCAAACAAAGCAACATATTTTTCCAAAAAAACCTAACATGAAAGCATCATAAATATGGGAGAGCGGGGTGGGAGGGAGGGAGGGGGGGGGGGGGGTAATTGAAGTAAAGAAAGCAAATTCAGTAACTAAAATTTTTATCAAAATAATAAAATATATTACATTGATAAATTTAGATATTTGCAAACAAGACAACGCATTTTTTTGAAAAAAAAACAATAAAAATGCTAGTACAAGGCATAGAACGGTTAAATAAGGGTAAAGAAGGGTCGAAAGGGATAAATTTATATTAAATTGTATTCGATTGTGGCAACAAAAACTTTTTTGAAAGTATATTTCGTTGCAATTATGGTCAGATCAAAAAAAAGAAAGAACCGCTTGTGCAACATATAAATAGTTTTAAGAGATGTCGGGTGTGTGAAAAGGGTTGTAAAGGGGTAAATTTATCTTAAATGGTTGTAAAAAGTGAAAATTCTATTAAGGTTATGCATATTTTAGTCTAAAAATGAAGATTGAAGAGGTTTTTTTGTTGCGTCAAAATATTGATTTTCCGGCAGTCTAAAGATTAACGAATCCGTCACCGGTTAATTTTTAAACCGATTTCATCTACGGGATAGTTGGAGTAAACATTAGATCGCTCACACCTAAGATAGATCGAGTGTCATAAGTCAGGTGACTTAAGGTGAGTTCAACTCTGCTGAAAAGGAGACATCAGATCGAAAGTATCAAACGTAAAGGCGAATACACGTATACTCAAACGTGATTAACGGAGCGGTGGTTAGCTCTGCATCGTGGGAGTTTGTTCTTGAATAAACCCTATTTGTACCAGCTAATCCACCCCGTTACAGAGTATAACTATTTTTTAAGGAAGATTTGCTTTTATTTTTCAATATAATCTTCTTTTAGCTTGATACACTTTTCGAGACATTCTTTAAGGAGGCTCCAGCGACTACCGCCGGGATCAAAAACACAACAAAAAATAAACTTTTAAACTAACGGCTAAAAAATCTTATAAGCAGTTTCTAAAGCAATATTATTACAAAATAGTACGATTTTCAACTACAGTTGGTAACTTTTTACAACAGAAGTTCCAGAACTTGAGTTTGGTATGACGCACATAACCTATAAAGTAGACAATTTCAGACTTTTTTGGAGAATATCTCAAAATTTTCCACGGCTATCCATATTTTGCAGTACATCATTCGAAAGACCAAGTTTTTATCTATACAACATCAGTTTTTCATTGCGTAACTACACCATTACTTTTAGTTATTGATGAATTTCTAACATTTTTTCACCTTGTTCCATAAGATACTATACAAAAAGCGCAAACTTTGAGATGAAATATCTCGAAATTTTCCACGGCTTGAGGGGTAAAGAAGAATACCGTTGGATTCAGTGCATTTTCACTTATCGAAATCACTATAACTAACATCGAAACTTTTCAATACCTCTCCTCGCTGGAGCCTCCTTAAGTTTTTTGAAGCAATCAGAAAATTATGATTTTGGGAGTTCCTCAAAATACTACGTCATGATCTCTTTGTGTGTCCGGAAAGTCTCTTTTTTAAGTTTAAAAGTAAAAACAAGTCATGAAGTTCAAATCTAGTGAATAGGGTGGATGCTTCACTAATTTGAACTTCAATTCCTGAATTTTGGCCGTTGAAATTGCTGCATTATCTTGATGAAACAGAATTTTTTTTTGTTGAAAGAAAAACGATTTTTCCCTTAATTTCTCATTTAATTAACTGTTTAATTAAACTTTAAGCCACGTTTAAATTCATTTACCCAATTGTAACTAGTTACAATTCCAAAGGCGAATATGTCATGAACTGAATTTAACTCATCTTTAATTTCTTTGGGTGTAAAACCTTTTAAATAAAAATTTTTTATCACCTTTTGAAACTTACTTTTTTTCATTGTTGATGGATAAGCAAAAGTTGTTTACTTACATCAATGATAAAAACGAAACCACTTGGTGGATCTGGCTAAAACAACTAATGCTAAAACATTAACAGCACCCTAGTTGGAAGTGGGACTTGCTATAGCAATATAAGTAACCTTGTGGGCAATGTTTTGAATTTTTTGACTTATGGATCCACCTGTGTAATGCATAGCTATTTTGGGATTGGTTATAGCATATGCCATTACTTCAATGTGCCAATCTCATGTCAATTAATTTTGTAAGGATTTATTTATGATTTTAGTAGTTATACTGTCATTATTTATGATTTTAGTAGTCATACTGTATTGTGAAGAGCGCAAGAACGACGGAGTTACGCGTATAGCAGCAACTCACGTACAACGATTGAAGCACATCGAGTCATACATTCAGTTCGATAGCATTCTCATTGGTTTTGTTTTCATGTTTTTTTGATATATGGCCCCTATTAGTTTGTGTGAATATAGACCTGATGTATGGGATTTGTTTTGTGTCGATCGTGACAATTATATTCGATGGTCATGTCCAATCAATCGTAAAATCAACACCCGTGCATATGGGTACATAAGGGGGTCTGCGTGAATAGCGCGTGTGGTTATTCTGCAGAAATAGCAACTACATGAACCGCAACAGCGAGAGCTATGTTGATCAGTGAGAGAGGTGCAGAAGTCGGTGCCGTGTTCTCTATCTCTCTGGTAAACATTTGAATAACACGTTGATCACTTGTTTCTGGGATATTTTGGATTTTAAGTCTGTTTTTCACTCCAAGTTGAGTGACTCCTTGTCACTCACTAAAATATGAATTTCTGCACCTATCTTGACAACATTAGTGACCTGAAACTATTTTTAATACAGCTGGCTTATTTAAATAAATTCATAACCTCTACGATCACAAATAACGCTGGGACTACAACGCTTGCTATCATAATTGAGTAGTGATTTTTGAGGAAACAACTGTAAAAAGCGACAAGCTATATCACCTTAATTATCGACCTGGAGAGTAACGAAACAGCACTGACATTCGAATATTAATGCTAGTATCTTGATACCATCTTTTCAAAAGCCAGGAAATATTTAATCTGTTATGTCCAGCTTATTTTCAGGAGATTCAATTTTATTGTAATGATCAGCAATATCTGAGAACTGACATTAATCTCTTTCAAGCTAATCAAGCAGTTAAGGATTCCTCGAATCGTTTATGTGATAATTTAACCCTATTAACCAATAATTACGAAGGGGGGTCAATAAGTCTTTACAAAATCTAAGAGATAGCGCTCCTCACGCTTAAATTATGATGTTTTTGGCAAGCAATACTACTAACTAGATATCGTACAAAGTTTCAGCTCGATTCATTAAGTTGTTTTTTATGAGCGTTAATCAAACAAAAAGTTCTTGGTTTATTTGAAAAATGGAAAAAACAGAGTTTCGAGTGGTGATAAAACTTTTTCATTTCAAAGGCCTTACACCAAAAGAAATCATAGTTGAGTTGAACGCCGTTCATGGCAAGTCTGCCCCTGTATTTAAGACTGTTTATAACTGGGTAAATGAATTTAAACGCAGCCGTACAACAACAAAAGATGAACCTCGTTCAAGACGCCCAGTAGAAGTGAGTACGCCCAAAATGGTCAACAAAATCCACGATATGTTGTTGAGTAATAGAAGATTAAAATTGCGAGAATTAGTTGATGCCATAGGGGTATCAAAGGGTATAATCATTTCAATTTTGCATGAAAAATTGGGGATGGAAAAAATATCAGCAAGATGGGTGCCGCATTTGCTCACTGTTGAAAACAAACGAACCCGCGTGGTCACCTCTAAGGCTCTTTCGGCACGCATACGTCGTAATCCGGAAGACTTTTGGTGTCGACTCGTAACTCTAGAAAAAACATGGGTACACCACTTCACTTCTGAAACCAAAGAACAGTCCAAACAATGGATTACCGCAGGAGAACCAGCCCCAAAGAAGGCAAAGATAGTAAAGTTAGGTCGCAAAATTATGGCCACGGTTTTCTGGGATACGTATGGAATAATCTACATCGACTACTTGGAAAAGGGCCAGACGATCATTGGACAATATTATGCGTATTATTAGGTTAGCTGAAAGAAAAAATCAGAGAAAAACGTCCTCACTTGAACAAACAATAATGCCTTTTTCTTCAAGACAATGCTCGAGTTCACACATGTGCAGTTTCTATGGCAAAAATTAACGATTTAAAGTTCGAATTAATTGACCATCCACCATATTCGCCTGATTTGGCTCCCAGTGACTTTTTCTTATTTTCTAACCTCAAAAAATGGCTTGCCGGAAAAAGATTCACCTCGAATGAAGAAGTTATCGCCGAAACAAATGCCTATTTTGAGGGTTTTCAGAAATCATATGTCTACACCCTACACACAGTAATAATCTATATGTGTGATTTTTTCATATACAAATTCTTAATAACCATCGATCAAAAATTTGAAATCACTCCTGAATTTATTATTGCATAAATTAAAGAGAAAAATTGAAACTATTATTTGCTGTTGAATGTCGCTGCTCATCTGCATCCACTCTTTTTCACTTCCTTAACTATATTTCTGCTTACTTTTTTCGTTAATAAGAAGCTACGTTATTATCAATTAAAATAACTTGCGATAAATAAAACTATCACACTTGTATACTACATTTATTATTACATAAGAAATTATCAAACATTTCTTGGACACGTACTTATTTATATGATTAATGCAAGCCAATTTTTCAACTTTAAAATAAATTTAGTATACTTTCAGTCAGCATATGCCAATTTATTTATATCATTTTATTGGTAAAACAAAATAAATTTCAGAACATTTCAAAAGTAAAAAATTTATTAATATTAAAGATGCCCCAGCAGCACGTACAAGCTAATGTAAAAAATATCTGATCAATATAATTTTTTAATATTCCATGAGTAATCAGGTTATGTACTTTTTAAAAATATGTAGGGAGCAATCCACTACAATTTTTTTATCAGCATCTTTCGTCATTATACTAAGTTTGCTCTAAAAACATCCAATTTTCTTATCAATAGAATTTCTTGGCTTGAATCTCTCTGCTGTTTCTGTAACCCAACATTATAAATATTAAATAATCTATTATAATAATATATAAATTGATAACTACATAGATAAATAGAGCATCTATACATTCATGGAAAAATTAGTATTACTTTTAAGTATCAAATTTGAAGAAAATATATTAAATATGCATACTATTTATATTTAATAAACCTTCTTCGTACTAAACTCTTAAAGGATCTGCTAGTTTTGATTCTTAGATATAAGTAAATTCTTAAGACTTTAAAAAAAATATCTCAAATATTTAAAGATAGAAACAAAACTGTTCAAATTAATGTCTATTAATATAGTTATTTACAGGATGTACACATCTCGCATAAATTAAGGGAACAAAAAAAATCTAATTTTTTTAGTAATTTTCAACAGGCTGTATTTCAGTGATAAATTGTCGCACAGGAAATAAAAAAATATAGCTTTTAAAGTTTGAAAACTCTAGATTTTGAATTTTTTGGTTACAAATTTTTTGGAGCATATGTAGCCGTACAATTCGTGGGTAAAGCAAAAAAAAAAATTTTCAAAATTTTTACCTTATTATTTTACTCTACGGTGTGAAAAAATGTTTTCGAGCTAGACCAATGCATAGGCCGTATAGCCTGTTCATTCAGCTTCAATTTTCTTTTTGCGGAAGTCAGATACAACCATTTGTCTTTGAGATATCGAATTTTGAATGCAAAAGGATTCTTTTTCACTCAACTGCCGATATCTCTGAAAATACTGGTCGCCTAGCGAACGGATAGGAGGTTTCGTTTCCTGCAGAAGATTTCCTACAAAAATCTGTCATTGTTGATTGGAAAAAAAATTTTTCTCCACCTGTAACGTTAACGTGAAAAAAGAGCAAAAAAAGTGCCAATTTTCCTTTTTTTGGTTAATCGACTGTGTCTTCGGCAATATTGGGGTAAAATTAAGGTTAGGAAAAACTTTTATAATCTAAAGTACCCCAAAGACGCCCCTAAATTTTTAGATCGATCGGTTCAGTGGTTTTCTTGGACCGATTGATTGAAATTTTGAAAAAATTAAGGAAACAAGATTTTTGTTCCTTAAATTTGACTTAATCTTTTTAAAAATCAATAATTTCATTGTTTTCCATCTTTTACTCAATTTTGAGTTTTCTGTAGATTGATTAACGAAAAAGAAAATTCAAAAGAATTTTTCTCACGCTTAAAAAAATTCCGTAAAATTTCCTTAAAAAAATATCTACAACAAAAAATGTGGAAAACGGCTAACCCTAAAGGCCATCCCTGTAACTTCCCACTAATTTATTTTTTGGAAAATGAAATTTTCAAAATTTTAAAAATTAAAAAAAACAAGAGGCCATTTCTTGAAACTATGGACACATTCATAATAAAGAAAAAAAAAATTTTTTCCAATCAACCATGACAGATTTTTCTAGGATATTTTCTGCAGAAAACGAAGCCCCCTATCTGTTCGGTGGGCGACCAGTAGTTTCAGAGATATCGGCAGTTGAGTGAAAAAGGTTCCTTTTGCATTAAAAATTCGATATCTCAAAGACAAATGGTCGTATCTTATTCCCGCAAGAAGTAAATTGAAGCAGAATGAACAGGCTATGTGACTTATGCATTGGTCTAGCTCGAAAATATTTTTTCATGTCCGTAGAGTAAAATAATAAGGTAAAAATTTTGGAAAATTTTTTTTTTTGTGCTTTATCCAAGAATTGCATGGCTATAGTTGTTGCGAAAAATTTGTAACCAAAAAATTCGAAATCTAGAGTCTTCAAACTTTAAAAGCTATATTTTTTTATTTCCTGTACGACAATTTATCACTGAAATACAGCCTGTTGAAATTTGATAAAAAAATTAGAAATTTTTTTTGTTCCTTTAATTTATGCGAGAAGTATAGTTAATAAAAATTTTATTATAAAGATAACTCTATAATTCACAATATTGTAATTTGAGCATCGGGAGCAGGCCTAGATGCCATTATATGTTCACCGTGTCAGCTAAATGATTTAAATCAGAACTTATATTTTCCAAACTTCTATCAAACAATCGCATATTACGTATGTTTATAATTTTTTCCAAGGTAACAAATTGATTCGCAAGTTCGGAATATAAGTCGCGTAATTCACATACTTTTTTCTCTAAAGACGCATTTCTGCGACACATCGCACGCATTGGCTTATTTCGCTTAGGAATATTGAATTATCAACTAATAACAATTAACAAAGTAAATTAACGCAAACTACAATTACAAGAGTCCTGTGACGGTCGCCAAATGTGATGTTAATATCACGTATTATTTACTATTTTGTTCGTACTCTCGTAGTCTGTCTCGTTAATGAGTAAGAATTCCTTTTAAATTTGAAATATATATGAATATTGAGTTTTAAGTAAAATTATAAATGAAATATCTATAATTGTTTGAATTGGGCTTAAGAAAAGATAGACTTTACCCTAGTTTCTTATGGTGCAAAGTGTCCCATAAGCAGAGCTTAAGTCTCTCTTGAAAAAAGGATGTAATTCAGCTTAAGTTTCTAGATAAGTTAATATTTTTTTTGTTCCTTTAATTTATGCGAGAAATGTATGTGTGTTGAGAGCCACAGCTTTTTACAGCGAGCTTTATCAGTGTCTTTCTTCGCGAGGTTTTTGCTGGCACTCTTATGGCCAAAAATTTGAGAAAGAGAGAGCTACATGTATAACGCATGGCTTAATCAGCATTCGGTCACCTGCGGTTAGCAGCAGAGTGAAGAAGGAAAGAAAGCATGAGCCAAACGAGAGTTCAGAGCATGTTTAACCGAGCAAAAGATGCGTAGTAAATATTTTTTTTGTTTATTAATTAAGGAATAAAAGGAGTAGACAAACAGATCCTGCTAGGATAACAAATTGACAGAAGTACCGATTAACTTGTTACTAGAGTCCTTCACAGCGATTTACTGGACAAAGTAAGTGTTAGATCTCTTTTTCTTTTCCCTTGAAATGTCACTGGTTGATCGCGTTGGCGGATACGTTCGACAGACTATTCCCTGATCTCGCAATCAATAGATGCCGAGATCTTTCATTCTTTTTTTTTCAATTTTTTGTTGCTCTATCATTTTATTATAGTAGATATTTCCAGCGATCATTTGGTAGAAAGCCTTCTAAACTTCGGGATAGCCGAAGAACATTTCGCATTATTATAATTGTAGACGATTGCCAGAAGGGCCAAACAAGGAAGTGTTCTGAATGATTTGATTAAGAGAATATATTACATTTATTGGTTTAAATCTTTTTAATTAATATATTATAACGGCCGGGGCCGTTTTCGGGGAAGATTGTCCGCGCACGAGGCCGAGCATGGCCAAGCGGGCAAGCGAGCGAGGAGTGAAGAGAGAGACAGAGCGAGACTCGATGAGGCGCGTGCCGTAGCGGTAGAGTTGGTGGAGAAAACGATTTTCGAACACTGAGACTTAGACCGGCGAGTTCGAAGGATCATCACGTGCGCGCGCGAGCAAAAGAAAAAGGAAAGCGACCGGCAAAAATAAAAGTGAAAGTGCGCAAGGAAGCGAAGATCATCCCCGAGGATCGCCGGATCCTGTGGATCGTCACCTCGAGCGGGCGATCACCAGGGGCAGAACTTGCCCGCCCGAGCAAGGGCGATAACGCGGGCGACTAGCGAGGGGTAGTCTGTCTGCAGCAGCTACTTCCCGGTGAGTTTCCCTTTGATTGTAAGCGACAACTTAGTGTGCGTTAGCTGTGCGAGCGAGCGTCTCTCTCTCTCTAAAATTAGTATTGATAGCGAAACCTCGGCATGCGGTATTGTATGAAAAGTTCGTATGAGTAAATAAAGCCCGATTTAACCTGTTTAAGCGTTGACATTGTGTTGGGCGTACCCAGGAAGGCACCTCTGTCCCTTCCCACGCCCGTGGTTAGAACTCACGCACGCTCTCGTGCTTAGCCGTGCTTTCGCGATCCCTTTTCAGGGAAGCGCGTGCCCGCCCGTATTCGGCGGAACGCCAGGAAGCGGCTAGCTGATCGGGGCGGCGGTGAGCTCCGCACCGACTAGTGAAAATAAAATCCTTAACGGGCCGCGAGAATAATTTGATTATTCCCCGGGCCGTTACAATATATATCAAGTCTTATAATTCCTCTTTCTTTTTTAATCATCAAACTATCGCGCAAAATTACAAACTGTCCATTCCAGCGTTCCGAAAAGTAATGTGCTTCCGAATTTCCCTTTAAACATAATTTATATTGTGCATATTTTTGGACTAAATTCTTAGAAAAAAACAGTGTAATATATAAATATATAATTGAACCTATGGTTATAATAAATACATAAATTAATTTTGTTCAGGATTTTTCAGCTAATGAAATCATTTTAGATAATAGACAGAAAAATAGATCTAATTTTGTTGTATAGTATGTATACAAAATAAAACACGTACAAGTTGTTATTGCTAAAAGTTCTAGGATTTTGAGTTGTAAATTTTGAATAGATTCATATCGCAGTACACGCAAAAGAAACAGACATCTTTCAACTAATCCTCACATAATCCTTAAATAATATACAGTAAGAAATCACGATAGATAGGTAGCCGAGTGCAAGATAATATATAGAAACTAACGAAGGAAGAACGAAAGTAGTGTATATACAACGAAATCTCAGGTATAATAGATGCTCCTCCGTGCAGTTCATACACTCTTAAAAAAATTCAGTAGAATTTCCAACTGAAATTTCCAGCTGAATTTCTACCTGGAGTTCACTGGATTTCCACCTGAATTTGATTGGATTTACAGTTGAATTTTTAACTGAATGTAGGAGGATTTTTTATTTCTAAAAATTCAGTTGGATTTCCAACTAAATTTCTCGTTGGATTTACAGTTGCAAATTCTGCACAGAATGGATTTTGAAGAAAAATTAGAAATGCAATTAGTCATATTGTTTTTATTTTATTTTAATAAATAAAACTTTTATTTTAAGTTAACAAATATTTTAAGTTCATAAAGTTTTTATTTTAAGTTGATAAAAATTGAGTGAATTAATAAAT